GAACAAAGCAATCCATTCGGCGCTCCGGTTCGCTCCCCCGAGGGGCACCTCCGTCGGCAAACAGACCGGCCACCTGGGATCCACGCGCGGGCACCGTTACAAGGCAACCGCCTCCCCTCCCCCTCGTGCCCTCAGCCCTCGACCGCCCGACCCCGCCTGCCACCGCGGGGCCGGCCGGCGGATCGGATGACGCCGACGGACGCCTGGCGCCCCCACCCTGGGGCGGGCGGTCCAGGTGCCAGCCTCGATCTCCGGCATCAGAAATCTCCCCTTGCCGCCTATCTCTGGGCGTTCCCTCAAGCGCCCTTGTCCGCAAAGGCGACGAACAAAATCGTGCGGTTCGAGTCCCTGAGCCCGCCATCGGAGGCCATCCCTGCCGGCCGGACCTTCGATGGGCACTACCTGGGCTCCGCCAGTGGGCCCTTCTCGCCCCGCACGGAGTGGGGGATCGCCTCGCCGGCCATGGCAAGGGGGGGATCGAATTCTCTTCTGGACCGGCCGTCGCACGGCGGCGCCGGCGGCGGATGGTCGACCTGGTCCCCGGGTCAGTTCGCGGCCCGTCCAGGACCTCGAGCGGCCAGCCCCGCGGCGGAGGCCATACGCTACCTGCGAGAGGAGGTCGCCGAGCTGACCGAGTTGGTGAGGAGGCGGTGCCAGGCCAGGACGATGGATCGGATGGCGGCCACCGCGCCACCGGCGTTGGCAGCACTGTCGAGAGAAGCCCGCGCTTGTCAAGACAAGCCCATGGCAGCATCGCGGGAGAGAATCGCAGTAAATGGCGCGGAGGCAGGAGCGGGAACGTGGCAGGGAGGCGAGAAGGAGGGGGGCGTGGGGCCCAAGTCGCCTCGCGACCGGCCGCGAGTAGAATTTCGGGAAAGCGTGAGTGTGGCCGCCGCTCCCCTTCCGTCCAAAGACGGGCGCGCGAACCCGGCCCTGGCGCTGATGTGCGCGGGGAAGGCCTGGGGGTCAGCTTCGGTGAGGTCCAAGTCCACGTCGGCAGCTGCCGGGGCACTTCGCTCGGAGCCCTGGCTGGAGGCTGGGCCGCTGGCCGGCGGGCTGCGCGACAAAATTCAGGGATCCAGGGCGCGTTTCGCGGCGGCTGGGGACAAGCAAAACAATGACGAAAATGGAGGAAATGGAGGAAATGAAGAAAATGGAGGAAATGAAGAAAATGGAGGAAATGAAGAAAATGGAGGAAATAAAGAAAATGGAGGAAATGAAGGTGCCGAAAAAGGTACCCCTCCCGAGAGGGGGATCGGCGATGACTTAACAGAAAGCGAGCCTCCAGCCGACGAAGCAGATCTATCTGGAGTGACTGGACGCAGCGTCTGCGCCTTGGAGTCGGACGATGGCCCGTCGGAGCATCAGGAGGCCGTGCGGGATGTAAGCCTGGATGCCGATGAGGAGGAGGCTCAGGACGCCATTGATCAACAGTCGCAGGAAGCCTCCTTTCCGGGAACCGCCAGCGAGGATGATGGCAGCGAGGCCCATGATGATGCTGATGGTGGTCAGAGCTCGTCAGGGTCGCCCACGGCTGTCCAGGGGAGCGCAGGAATAGAGCCCTCGCAGATCGGCGCAGCAGAGGAGCCCGGGCACATCATAGTACACCCGGGTTTCGCCACGAACCATCGGGCAATGGGAGGCGATGCAGCGCTCCAGGCCTTTACCTGGACACCGCCATCGGCGCCCATGGCTTGTCGTTTCGGAGCAGAAAATGCGCCGTCAGGGATTGGCGTGTCAGAGGATGCCAGGCACATTATAGTACACCCGGGTTTCGCCATGAACAGCCCTCCAATGCAAGGATTTGCGGCATTCCAGGCCTTTTCGTGGCGACCGCTGGTGGCCTCTATGGCTGTTCATGACGATGCAGGAGGTGAAAGTGCACCAACGCTGATCGGCGCCGCAAATGAGGCCACCCCGTTTTCTGCATTCCCGAACTTCGCCGTGAATTATCCCCCAATGCGTGGCTCTGCGGCGTTCCGGGCCCTTCACTATCACCCCCTATTCATGCGCGTGGCGGGAAGCGGCAGCGCAGAGAGTGTGCCATGGCTGATACACATGTCAGAACAGGAATTCGACACCTACACTCCGGCAGTGGGTGATGCCCCAGTGTGTAATGAATTCACTGATCTGCCCAGCCACGCTTCCGAATCGGCGTCGCCATCAGGTGGCCTGGCCGCCGTAGAATTGTCTAGGGTGAGAGATACGTCTGAAAGCGTCGACTACGCGCCCTACAGTTTCACACCAGATGAGCTGAGCGAGTCAGACTCAACAGCGGACTCGTTAGCAGACGAGCTGGATGCCGCGGACTTGGCCCAGAGCTTGTCTGAAAACAGCGGCCCAGATGAGGCGAACGAATCGAATACGGAATCGGACCTTGATGAGGGCTGGGGGAGTGCTGTCATGACTGGCGACATTTTGGATGGGCCCGGAGAGGAGCGAGCCGAGCACGGGGGGCAAGACGAAGATGATGGCTCAGCGCAGGAGTCCTTTCCCGGGTTTCCGGCCCCCGTTATGCCGGAAACCGATGATGAATCACCACCTCCGATGATCCACCTCTGCAACGACGAATGCGAACAAAAGGAGCGATTCCCAGGCGTTGAGGCGCTGCACTGCAACATCGAAATTGAGTCATCAGGGGAAGAGGAAGAGGTGGGCGGGCAGGCGGAAAGTGACTCACAGCGCAATGGCCCATCGAGCGACGAGGACATGGGTGACCAGAGACCATCGGCATGCCGCGCACGGGATGAACTGTACATGAGATCGTCCGCATCACCATACCCACACATTATGGAAAACGACAGCGAAACCGAGACAGAAGTCCAGCTGCAGCCAGATTATGGAGTGGGCGAGTCGATGGAAGGGGCCGGAGACGCCCAAGGCCTTGGGCTCAGTGGAGTCAATCGAGGGATCGGCGACACCGTCGCCCCCGAGCCCACTCCTGTCAGAGGCTTTGGCCGAACTGCGCCCAGGCTATCGCTTGCCATGCGAATGACCTCCCACGCCATTGAGTGCCGCAGTCTTTCGAGCGACGGCGACTCAGACCCTGGTTACGAGTTTTCTTCCGCGTGAACGGTTCAAGGCATTCGCTCGGGTGACCGCTTTTTGGAGGACCTGAGCGGGTGGTCCGCTTTCTGCTATCTTGAGGGCCGATTGGGAACCCCGTTTGCATGGCTGCACGGTGTCTCCAGTGCGCATGGCATGAATGCAAAGGTGCAAAGCTGCATCTCCGTTGGGGGCTGCCGTCCAACAGTGGCAATACCGCGCTGTGGAGGCGACTGCTGCTGATGGATACCAGTCCGTGTGTCCTGAGCATTGCGGGTGGTTTGGGATTTTCGTCGCCTGGCTGATTGGAGTGCGGGGAACGTGTGAAGTTTGAGACGCGAAGACGCAACTCGACTGCCCTTGTAACGGAAATCTCGATTCGTGTGCGGCCAATTGCTCAGCGCCATTCGCTGCTGAAGTACCTTCATGTGCATGCCCGATTAGCGAATGGGCTCTACTGGCAAAAGGCGGGCGCCAAGAAGAATCAGAACACAGTAAAGTCATGTCAGTGTGTTCATGTCCTAAATGAGCACAAGACAGCTGCCTCATAAGGAATATTGGCGATGGATCATTATTGTTGTTCAGCTCGCCTGATTAGGTGGGCAACTAATGCGGTTTGATAGAAGAATATGGAGGAGAAAGAATCCCTCTCCTCCATATTCCCTTTGAGGGTCCCTCAATGAGGGAGTGCCCGTAAAGCTGAGAGTAAGATATTCACTCTGAAACCAACTACCGTCCAACTGCCCTCCATGGTCTTTGCACAATGCACTTGCCGGAGAGAACTCCGAGGGCAAATATTTTCGCTGTGTTGATTTGTTCAGCATGTCCACGAAAAATGTTTCAACGACATGGTTTTTCCAGTGAGTTGTTTGGCCAAGTTAATGCTCTGGACGCCGAGTTTTCAGACCGCAGATTCTAACTGTAAGTATCTACACACCACGCTTGTGCCATTTTCAGCATCCAACGAGGTGGGCAAGGAAACGCTCACAGCATGGCCTTCAGGTAGACGATTGGCAGCCTCATATGGTAGCGAGACTCGGGACCTGGCAGTTTCTGCTCCTGAAGTGAACGTCGCACCACACAGATCGACGCCCACGGTTAACCATGGGTGAACGTTCGCCTGGCCGCAGCACGCACTCGCTATGCCGCGGCATTATTTGCACACCACTGTCACATTATATGAAGCACCCGAGGGCAGCCATCGCGCAGAACAAGCGTGGTGGAGCCAGAATAAGCCAAGCCGAAGAGCCGCCAAAGGTGGCGGCCGTTGGCAGGACACGGACAGCAAGCTTAGCAGTTTTTACTGTCAAAGGACAGAACCTTGCGATGAGCAATTATTTTCGTGCCCAACTCGCAGTTGCGCGCGATATGCGTCGAGTGGCGATTGCAGCACTATTGGACACGATACAAATGCGTTGCCTGGGTTCTGTGTCAGGCTCGCCGTCTAGATGCCTAGTAAAGTCCTAAAATCGTGCATTCCACTTGGAAAAGGCAAAACAGGTATCGGTCTGCTGTCTTGGACTTGTTGGGACACGTGCGTGTTCAATGTTCATGAGCCGACCCTCGCCTTGCGGCTGGGGCTGCTCCATTTTGTGAAGAACAACATGCGGGGGGAGCGGGGTCTTAGCTCAAAACTAAGGCTTACCATGGTCGACACAGTGCCGTCCCCAAGAGTGCCAACCCCCCACCCTTCTCCGTGAAATCTGCGAACTGCCCCGTGCCCGCGCCACATTCCCCCCCAAGCCCCAGGTCGGATTGGGCGCTCCCCCAGCCAGCGCTACTCCCGAACCAGGCCGCCAGGGCCGCGCGCCGCGGATTGCGTCCAACTACCATTACGACATCGTTGGGGCGCCCCGACGCCCCGCCATCGAGGGGCGGCGGGGGGGCCCGCTGCGCCTTAGCGCAGCGGGGGCTCCCTGCGACCACCGCCCGCCAGCGCGCCGCCCAGGGCGGCCATGGGCTCCATCCTCATCCACCCCCTGCTCCTGTCCTTCTCCAACGCCGAGGTGGAGGACCAGTACGTGCGCTTCCGCACCCTGCGCACTCTCACCCCGGTGGACGTCTACTTCCTGTGCCTCAACTTCGTGCTTCACGCCGCCTTCGTGGCCCTGGAGCTGCTGCGGACGGACCGCAGGGACGGCACGTCCTGCCTGGTGGCCGTGGTGCTCGGCCTGGCGGTGGTGCTCCTGCAGGGGGGGTTGATGCTCTACCTCGGGGAGGTCGGGTGGATGAAGCTCAGGACTTCGTCGATAATCCTGTTCCGGTCGCTGCGGACGATCGTGTCGGTGTACGGCGTGCCGCGGCGCGTGCGGGAGGCGCCCTCCGTGGGCGCCACATCCCTGTTCAAGAACCTGTTCTTCGGGTCGGGCACGCTCATCGTGGCCTGGAACGCCTGCGGCATGCCGCTCCTGTTCAAGCACCACCTGGTGGTGCAGAGCACGGGCGTGGCGCTGATGGTGTTCCTGGCGGGCCGGCGCTTCTGCGCCAACACGCTGGAGAACCCGGGCGTGCGGGAGCTCTTCGACTACCTGTGGAAGACGCTCGACGACCTCATGGTGCTGGTGGCCGGCGCACCGATCACCTCAGACGCGGAGCTGCTATTGACGTCCAGGCGAGCGGCATGCTTCCAGGTGACCTTGCAAAGCGCCTCCTTTGCATTTCAAGCGGGGAATGGCACTGCGCGCTGCTCTGAGGCAGCTTTGCCAGACTCCGCTCGGGGCGGCCAGCTGCGTGGACCGAAAAGCCGAGAGAACACCGTCGTTTTTTCACTAAGAAATGGAGAAATGAGGGGCGCGCTTGACGCCCGCGGTGTGTCCCCCCAGGTTGTGGTGCTGGTGCACATGTGCCTGGGCTTCCTGGTGCCCACGCTGGTGCTGTGGCAGCTGGAGCTGCAGTCACGCCGGAGCTTCGCGGCGTCGATGACCGCCAACCCGATGTGGGGCCACGTGCGGTTCGACGACTCAGGGGTGCCGGACCTGGGCCGGACCATCGTCGTGTGCCTGCTGGGGTTGGCGGGCATCTGGACGATGGTGACCGACCTAGTGTTCAACATACCGGGACAGGTCTCCAGGCGCGTGGAATTGTGATCGGGGGTGGGAAGGGGGCGGGGCAGGTTGGGTAGACGGGTTGGCGGCTGGGTCGGGCGGAGATTGGGGTGCAGAGGGCGGTCAGCGAGCTGTGGGGCGGCACTGGTGCGCATTGCTAAGTTCCTGGTGCTTGGGAGTTGTTCCCCTTGTGAGGGCTGGGCAGGCATGGAAACATGCATTGAAATGTGCATTCAAATATTGGAAATGTGCAAGGAAATGTGCTTTGAAAGTGCACATGGATATGTGCATGGAAATATTTGCATTGACAGAGATTTGGGAAGTGCATTGGCCACTAGTGCGTCCCACTCTGGCCTGTGGCTGGTATCTAGCAAAAGAGGGAGTTGCAATGTGCGAGTTGCAATGAGCATGTGTGCAAGGGCCCATGCCAAAGGATGCCATTCCTGTGACTTGGGAATTTAGAACGAGGTGCTTCTCAAAATCATGGGACGTGCATTATATTGAAATGGCAGGAAGGTGGGAAAAGCGGAAGACCCTCCACACAGGCAACCAGCACCTTACCCCTTGCCTGGCCCATCAAAGCTGGAACAACTGCTGCAAGGGCACTTCCGCTTGGCTCTCCCAATGGCACACAATGGCATCCAGGCGTTCAGGGGAGGATGCTGCAGTTTTTGCAGCCATGACCGTTGTCCGTCATGATTTAAGGGGCACCCGCTTCTGCCAGTGTGACTTGGCGAAGTGCATGTAGACAGACATTCCAACAGAGTAATCTGAGGGAACTGGATACAGGGGAGGCCCAACGTTATCCACTGATATGAGCATGGTTTCGCGTGACACAGGCTGCATCAGTGCGACAGTTGCCAGGCTGGAACTGTTGTTTGTGATCCCAACTCATGATTATATTTGAGAAGATGAGAAGACACAAGTATTTCTGTAAAGCACCAAAATGCCGATTCAGCTCTTGGAGCATGCTGGTAAGGTGAACATGCCATCTGAGTTCGTCTTGCATGCTCGCTGTCTGTGCCTGTCCTTGAGGGTGAATGGCCTGAGTACATATTGTGAACTGTGCATTGCATGCTGCCTGGTGGTCATGGATGGGTGATGGACAAAAAAAGGCACCAACTGTGCACCAACTGTGCCCTTTTCATACCAGCTGCATTCACCTCAGTGTGCCAGTTGTGAATGAAGTTGCTGGAGGCCGCTGCTGAACTTGCTGGATGCCATTCCCTGCACCTGAATTGCGCGATGATGATGAGTCGTCATTGAGGACGTCACTTAGCAGGGCCTGCAGTCTGTAAATGGCAGAGTGTGGATGGGGCCTCCCAGGAACTCGAAAGCAAACCTGCTCACATCGGGTCGGCACGATTTGCCTTCTCTGCTTCTGGGAGCTCTGGACGTCTGGCGATGGCAACGGCTGTGAGTGGCAGGCTGGGGTCAAGAAGCGCCACGACTGATGGACAGGGAGACCCATGGGTCAGACAAAGCCACGTAAGCCTGACAACCAAGAATCTGGTTCAAATGCTGTAGATCTGTTGAGAGGTGCCTAGATCTACTGGGAAGATGGACAATGCAATCCCAGTCGACCACGCCAGGGCGACCATGTGTTAGCCAAAGTCATGTACACCTGACAGCCTCGAACAGTGGCGTACGTGCTGCAGAACCTTTGCATGGTTGAGCTGGAGATTCGTCCAGCGGTGGAGCTGCAGATTTGTTGCGACGTAAGAGTGCTACAGATCTGTTGAGAGGATGGTGTGTGGGTACTCAACAACCACGCCATATTGCCCACTTGGGCAGGCATAGCCATGTTCACCGGACGGTCACAAGTTGTGGTGCAGATGATACAGATCTGTTGACATTGCAACCAGTGTGGATTTTGGCCGGGTGCACCCATGCTGCAGACAGTTCCTTGGCCCGCCGCAAAGCAAATACGCAGGAAGTCCATGCCTACATGCCCTTCCTACTGTTGTTGCAACTTTTCTGTCATGGTTTCCAGTCTTGCCACAAGTGCGCTAGGTGCATGATCCTTTGCAATTGGCTGCGTCCTCAAGAAGCAGAGACCCGCCGATGGCCATTCGCACTATTCTGCCTTTGACGAATGGTGCGTTTGCAGGACCGAGTGTTTTATGCCAACAACAGTGATGGCAACAATGCCAGTTCCTGCTTCAGACGAAGGCCCAACAGTGGATGCTGATATGCACTGAACGTCTACCTGGCAAACACCTGCGTGTCTGGGGAGGTGCCCAGCCAGTGTTCACAAGACTGGTGTGAATCCTCAGGGTCTAAGCTTGGGGCTCAGAAACTTGGGATTCCAGAAGTCCTGCTGCCCAGGCATTCGAGACTCGGTGTGGGAGGCTAGTATCAATGGGCTCAAACGTCTGAACTCGAGGTGCATGGTTACGAATGTGTACTGAGAGCAAACCCAGCAAGTCCAGCAAGATGACAAGAAGCACTGGACTTGAGGACGTTGGCAATGCCAATTTGTCATGGAAGACAGACCGCACAGACCCAAGCCGCTAGCAAGTCAGTCTTTCGCCGGTCTCACCAACCAGCTGGTGTCCCTTTCTAATTCACTCTGGGGCCACAAGCATTGGGCAGCATTCATTTTGAAGTGCTTGGCGGATCAGCTGGGAGATCCTGCTGTCTTGCGCTTCCTTGCCAGTCATGCCCAAGACCACAGGCTCGCAAAAGCATCCACGGCGCTATACTCCGCCAACCCTTCGAGACAAGGGTATTGCCCACTGAGTTCTTGTCCTCTTTATATTTGTCTTTGGTTATCTGTATCGCCTTTGAGCAAACTGTGTAGTTTCCTATCCGTCCTTGCCTGCTAAAGGAGTGGAGCTGATGTACAGCATTTGTTCATTCTTTCAACGCCCCCTTTTTCTGAGCCGTTTGACACGGGGTTCTGCAATCGGCTGGGAACGCATCCTTGTCATTCAGATCTGTCTAAGAGCATCTTTAGAGCATCTTTATCGGTGGGTGCTATTGTCCCGGCGGAGCTATTCGGCTATCCGAATAGCACCGCACGTCAAAAAAACATCATTAACGGTTGGGGAGCAATAGCACCCCAATAGCACCCCCGGAGCTATTCGGCGCCGAGCGGTGCTATTTTGGCCCCTAATAGCACCGCTCGGGGCCAAATAGCCCCCCAGAATAGCACCGGTGTTATTCGTGCAGAACATTGTAGTGCTGCCGTGATGCTATTTGGCGTAGGCATAGCACCCCCCATTGCAGATGCGCGCACGGGGGCAGTAGCACCGGCGCTATTCAGCAAACGTAGCCTTAGGAAGGTGGCACGGCAGCCAATGAGAACCGTTCCTGGATAACTCCGTCGGTGCAATAGCGCCAACCGATAAAGATGCTCTAAGGAGTGTTGAAATTGACCATTTCCCAGCCATTAAATGACATGGCAAATGACTACATCAACTTCATCAGCCCAGCGTTATCAACCATGGACTACGGCACCACCTACTAATGACCTTAGTTATTTTGACAGTACATACTGCATCAGAATACACCGGCAGTCAGGGGAGCAATCAAGGTGTTACATTCAGCCAGAAATGCCCAAGGAACAAGCCGTCCACTGGACGGCGTCCAGTGACCGTGGTTCCAGGATCGCCCCAAGCATTCCATAGTTGAACTCTCCACGAACGATATACCACCAAAAATCATCATTCTGACGGCCATTGACACCCAACATGGGACAACGTCATCATTTCACTCACCAACAATCCTCCGATTGCCAGTCCGACATCCGTGCACAAACCAAGACTTAGAAACGGCATAAGCGCCCAGCAGCACCCTTCTGCATTCTGTCCACCTTGCACCGTGAATCCGCCACCCTGCAGCTGCTCTGCAACTTCCAGTCAGCCATGGCATCCACTTGCTACCGCCAGGTTAAGAGCAGCAGCTTTTGCTTAATGTTGCCAATGAGCTTTGCCGTAGGGAACCTCTGATTCTTTGCGATGATAGTATCTCGACAAAGGCGGACTTATTCTGGCGCTGACTTTGATGTGGGAGACGTCCTACTAATGGCCCTTGGTGTGGGGACGCCCTGCCCAAGGCACGTACTATTCCTCACCCACTGTAACCTTTATCCATATTAGGATACGGGAGTAGGAGGGGTGGTCCCGCCTAGGTGCCCTGTAAGGACCTAGGTGCCCGGCGAAGCGGGTCCGCGGCTCAAAGAGGGCAGGAACCCCACACCCACATCCTATTCGTAACATTTGGTTTCGGAGCCGCCTGAGGGTGGCGGCCACGCTTCCACCTGGGAGCGCGCGAGAGTACAAGACGCCGAAGCCCTTCCCCGGCCTCCTCAATGGAGGCTGAGGAATCGGAGGAACAAGCCCGGGATGGGCAGGGGGAAGGACAAGCCAGGCGATCGAAACAGCCCGGGATGGGCAAGGAACTGAACAAGCCCGGGATGGGCCAGGAGGTGTAACAGTCCGGCAGGACATGGCTGGACCCTCCACAGCCACATCGGCACCCGCAGCAGAAGATGAGCCGATGGAAGAAGTGGATACCCCGCCGGCGGCGGAGAAGACACAGGAGCAAGACCAGGACGCTGAGGCGGCGGCGACGTTGCTGAAGATCCCTAGTATCAAAGAGCTCCTGCAAAAGATGGCGGATACCGCGGCCGAGAAGGCGAGAGCGAAGCGGGATGAAGAGACCGCCGAGAGGATCGCCTCGCTGGAGATCGCCGTCAACAAGGCCAAGAAAGAAGCTCGAGAGAAAGAGCTGGCCATGAAGAAGGCGAAGCAGTAGAGCCGCGAGGCACAAGAAGCCAAAACCTCCACCGAAGACCAGGTCAAGGCGTTGAGTGACCGCCTCCTGAAGCAAAAGCAGTGGGCCCAGGAGGCAGAAGAGAGAAGCGCCCAACAGGTGGTGCCAGCTGTGAGGGCCCCCAGTCCGTCGGAGCTGCCCATGCCAACCATCCCAGAGGAAGACCGGAAGGTTGCTGGCAAGCAGCGCTCCAAGCGGAAGAGTCCATCGCCAGGTGAGCGGCCGATGGAAAGTGAGAAATCTCCATATCAAGGCCGGGATGC